CCGGTTACCTCGTAGAGGTTGTCAAGCTGCTCCTGAAACACCATGCTCTTGGTCAAGCCATCCGAAGCGTTATACGCTCCGGAGATGAACTCCAAGATAACACGGCCGGACTGAACCTTCTGTTGAAGGTAAGCGCACCTCAACTCAAGGTGCCGTACACGGCGCAACAAGCCTTCCATGCTCGCGATTGCTTTCGCACTTTCGCTGTCTGTATATATCCTTATGATGAAAGACCCAGTGACCTCATCCTCTGGGAGTCCCTCAAGGAAAGACTGCTGAAGCAGCCCAGCGAAAAGTGCTTCCTTTACGGTTTCAACCAAGGCACTCAGCTCAGCCTCGGCACTGCTCAAGGCAACAACCGTCTGCTTTCTGCTGAAACTCTTCAGAAGGTTACACTGCCAGCAGATGACAGCACCACTAACCGAAGGTAAGTTCCAGCTCGCGTCACAGAAGCAATCAATCGTGCGAGCATCAGACGAAGGAGCATAGTCGACCCATTGAGCGGGAATTCTCTGTACCATATCTCCTAAGGTAAGAGTCCACCGCAAAACTGCACGCATGCAGTCTTCGCTCCTAGAGTCCGGGTTCGACTGGCTCCTCGCCAAGAAACCAACCACAAACTGCAAGTCAGGCCTCGTCAAGGCCATCCAAGACAGCTTTCCCAATACTCTCCGGTACCGCTGGTACGCTTCATGAGTGATTGGGGTGGCCTTCGCATTCATCCAAAGCCTTTCCAGCTTCGGCAACTTCGCGGACTTCGTAATCTGGTACTCTTCCGCGCAGCTTTTCAACATCCCCGGTTTCAAGCCGAAAAACAAACTACCATCTTCTTTCTGATAGATGTTCCTGCCAAGGAAGGATATCACTGATGGCTTCTTGGGTTCCAAAGTACCGGTCCTCTTCATCTTAAAGACCTTGCTTAAATCAGCAAACACCTTCTCAGCTACACTCGCAACTGTACTAAACACCAAGATGTCGTCAACATAGGCCAAAACCAACACAATGGCTTCAATCCCTTTCTCACGAATCATCTTTCTGTATACAGTGCTATCAGCAGTCACCTGGAAGCCAAGCTTTCTCAAAGTTTCTCCAAGTTCCCGAAACCAGGCCAGGGGCCCAATCCTCAAACCATTCATGGCTCGTTTCAGCAAACAGTGAACTCTCTCTCCACTCGTTGTACTGCAGTTCTCGGGAAGCTTCACCACCTCAGTGGAAAACAAACGGGCTTGCATAAAAGCTACACTGATATCTCCGGAAATCACCTTACCACCAAAATGCGCGTACATACCCAACAAACATCGTACCGACTCAAGGGTCGTAGTCGGCGAGTAGATGCCATCCGAGAGGGCACTCGTGGGTCCCTTGAAGTCTCTTACCACCAACCTACAGCGCACTCTCTTGTGCCCGTCCTTGTAGTGGAGGACCCAGCGGGTGGAAAGCACCCGCCGCTTTGCTTCACGCACCAAACGCAAGGCTTCTTTCTCCGAAACAACTTGACACACACCAAAGTTGTCAAGTTCTTCCATCTCAAGCTTCATGCCTTCACCCAGTTTCTTCTCATCCAGAAGTTCACCTGAATACTCATCCGCCGCCCCTGAAGGAACCTGAACCTTCACCTTAGACCCTCCAAACTTCAGAGTAAACTCCAAACCCTGGTTCCTCGTTTCCTCAGAACCCTTGGCCGCTCGGACCATGTCAGGCCTCGAGCACAGCGCATACAGCGCATGATCTTGCAACCAACTAATCGCCACCTCCATGGGATCATCATCTTCAGCCGGTTGCATGTCAACATCAAACTCCGGAGGGGCCTCGTTCTCTCCAACCGGGGGCCCATCAGGCGGGATCTCCTCAGGAAAAACATCCTCAACATCAGGTGAATAATCATCCATATCTTCATCATCAAGAATATCTCGATCTCCCGTCCCCCTCTCAATTAGATCACCTTGAGGGTCTCCAGGAACAAAAGCTTCGGGAGGCTTCAATTCTAGGGCAATTGGTCGTTCTAAAACGTTGTCTTGCCTTGACAGGGCACCTGAGTCAGCAGCCTGTATCACCAAGTCTTCAGGATACACATAAGGCAGGTCCGGGCGAAATGCGGACATCATTTCGACCTCATCCGGCCGATCCAAAGGTAACACTCGGACACCCCCACCATTTGGTTTTCCAGGACCTAAGTACATACACGGGATAAGGCGGCGTCCTCGATCCTCGGGTCGCGGCTTCCCTGGCTTGGCGAAACCTTTGCACCCAAAAGGAAATGTCTTGGTAACCGTGAGGTGTTGCCGTCGCATTCTTTCCATAGGCGTGGTCTGAGACCTCGAGGTGGCATGCAGGTTTCGGGTTCTTCCTACATACCTCAAAGCTTCCTTGAACAACAAACCACCCAAACGAAGTTTCTTTCCAAGCGACGTTTCGAGTGTCAACCAATTCACCCAGAAGGCTTCCTTGAAATGCCTAACACCTACCTCAACTTGCCCTTTTTGTTGTGGCCTACCTTTTGCTACAGAATCAATGTGCAGAGACGACGCAGGGAACGTTCGGTCCTTCCCGGCTCGGTTCCACAAGGCTTGCAGTGTACTTTCATTGTCCATGCGCAGCACCATGTGCTGCCCTTGCACACCAGCAAAACTCAACTCTGCATTGATGGCCCTAGCCACCTTCATCGGATCTTCTCCAGTAGCAAAAGGAATCCCAAAAGAATACCCACTCAACTCATGAACCACAAGACAAACTCTCAAGTCCTTAGTGAAGAACAAGAAGTCACTCAGAAAACTGGCTTGTGGGATCTGAGGGTCGCACCGTCGCCTCGCAGGGATAACCCCACGACTCGAAACACACAGTGAACATGAAGGTAAATACGGCTGATGTCCTCGTGCCACGTGTTCCTGATACACCTTATCNNCATCTAAAGGCACATGCAACTCACTATCATCCTCAGCTGGATCCTTACCGGTAGCTTCGTCACGGGGCTCAGGCACCATCATAGCCACCGGCTCCGGAACAGGGTCCGGTATCAACTCTTCATCGGAATCCACAGGAACGACAACAGGTAAGCCACGCACTCGAACAGCACGCACGCGCTCTACCAACAACTGAGATGGCTCAGTATGGACATCACCGCCACTCAGCGCCTCAGATCTATCATCACTGACGCTGGTACCAATGACACGCTCACCAGACGACTGCATCCCAACACCAAGCTCACAGGCCACTTCTTCTTCAGAAAACGCAGCCACACAAGCTGGGGCTTTGGCTTCGGGTTCGAGGGCTTCAGCGCAAAAACTCTCAAAACAAGCTTTGGCTTGGAGGGCTTCAGAAAACCCTTGCGCACACAGACGAGCTTGGGCTTGGAGGGCTTCAAAGAACCCTTGCACAGCATACTCAAAGGATCTCCAGGCTTGACAGGGGTGCTGGACCTCAACAACACAACCAGCAACAGGCTTCCCTGAAACCTTCACAATCCTAAGACAAAACAGACGCTTCACCTCACCTTTCCTGCTAGCAAGACCCAACACCTGACCTTGAACAACACACTCCAGACGCACACTGGAACGCCTAAACCGACGCTTCACTCTGATGTTCCTTTTTCGGACAGGTCCCAGGAGCTCATAGAGCACAATCCCTAATTCAGGGACTTTCGACTCGTAGGCCTCGCCGTCGGTTTGGGAGGAGGCGATAGGATCATGACACCACCAGTTTTTGATACTGTACCTTCTTTGGACCGTCCCTTCGGGACATAGGTCGGTGCAAGGAATTCCGTTCCCAGCTTCGGCGGGCATGGACCAGGCTTTGGTGGAACAGGACCTGGTAAACGAAACACTCCCCGAAAACCAGCAGGTGGCGGTGGCAAAGGCAACGGGGTAGTGATCGGAGGAGGAGTCATAGGAGCTCTGGGAGAGGGTGCCTTTGTTGGCCGGATCGGCGCTGAAACAGCCTTTGCTTTTCTCACAGACGGAACTGCTTTCGGAGCAGTTACTGCTGCTATCGCCTCCGGCGCCTCCTCGACCTCCTTGGCCTCTTCTTCCTCTTCTTCTTTCTCCTCTCCTTTCTCCTCTTCTTTCTCCTCTTCT